TTGAAACCAAATCTATGTTATTCCTTGCTTGAAAGCCTTCAGTGTCTACCCCATGCATACAGCATGGCACCCTCAGCATACCAGACCCCTGATCTTTACAGGGTATGAGACCTACAAGATCTGCTATGATACTGCTCACCTCTCTAGCTCAATTTTTACTGATCTTTGCTGGATCTTTACTGCAGATGCCCCAGTGCATTGAGCATTTGTGACGAGTAGGCTACTGGCTAGAATGTCCATGCTCTTCTACTTCTGTCTACTGAGTTTTACACTTAACCAACAGTGAACTATGTTTTTTTCTCAAACCTGCTTATGCCAGTCATATCTGTTACTGTAGGCAAAGCATTACAGGTATGGGTAGCCTCCCATGCCAAACTATGATTCTTTGTACCATGTATTTTATTTTATTTTGTTTTATTTTATTTTATTTTGTTTTATTTTATTTTTTGAGGCAGAGTCTCACTCTGTTGCCCTAGGTAGAGTGCCGTGGCGTCAGCCTAGCTCATAGCAACCTTACACTCCTGGGCTCAAGTAATCCTTCTGCCTCAGCCTCCCAAGTAGCTGGGACTACAGGCATGCGTCACCATGCCCGGCTAATTTTTTCTGTATATTTTTACTTGGCCAATTAATTTGTTTCTATTTTTAGTAGAGACGGATATCGCTCTTGCTCAGGCTGGTTTCTAACTCCTGACCTTGAGCGATCCACCCACCTCAGCCTCCCAGAGTGCTAGGATTACAGGCGTGAAGCCACCATGCCTGGCCCTGTACCATGCTATTTAGTAACTCCATTCCTCTACAGTGACTGTGTTCTGTCTGAAACAGTCTTACTGCTTATTTCATCTTACTAACTCCCATTCCTCCTTTTATTCTCAGCTATCTCTCTTTTTTTTTTTTATTTTGGCATATTATGGGGGTACAGATTTTAAGGTTTCAATAAATGCCCATTCCCTCCCACCCCCAACTATCTCTTTTTCAGGAATCCTTCCGTGCTTCCCATACCCCCCCCCCCAGGTTTTATTCTGGGTTGGGTGCCCTTCCTCTATGCTTCAACATGATGTCTACTCTGTCTTAGTGCTTGCTCTACTGTGTAAGTCTGCATAGTCTTTATCTTTTATTAAACAATAAGCTCCTTAAAGGCAGAGATTACATTTTTGTTAATTCTGTATCCCCAGTTTCTTAGCACATTGCCTGGTACATATAAGGTGCTGGTTAAACATTGAGTAAATTAATTAAATTTAAAGTACTACTCTAGCTAGGTGTGGTGGCTCACTCCTGTAATCCTAGCACTCTGAGAGGCTGAGGCAGGACTAGGATTGCATGAGCTTAGAGTTGGAGACCAGCTTGAACAAAAGCAAGACCCCGTCTCTACTATAAATAGAAAGAAATTAGCCAAAAACTAAAAATAGAAAAAATTAGCTGGGCATGGTGTCAGCTGGGCATGGTGTCACGTGCCTGTAGTCCAGCTACTCGGGAAGCTGAGGCAGTAGGATTGCGTGAGCCCAGGAGTTTGAGGTCTCTGTGAGCTAGGCTGACACCATGCATGGCACTCTAGCCCAGGCAACAGAGACTGTGTCTCAAATAAATAAATAAAAATGAAAAATAAAAAAATAAAATACTCCTCCTCCTAGAGTCCTCCCCATTTTACTTAAGACTCTAGTCTTCTAATTGCCCTGCCAAAAATCCTAATTTATCCTCTTTCTTTCTGACCCTACCTCTGATCCATGAGTAAATCCTATTACCTTTTCCCCCCCGCTGGAACTCCTGAGCTCAAGTGATCCTCCTGCCTCTGCCTCCCAGAGTACAAAGATTACAGGCATGTGCCACCGGGCCTAGCCCCTATTCTTCTCTGTACTCACACTGTTGTAGCCACCCTGGCCTCTTCTCCCTGAACGTTCCTGCAGTGCTTCTACCTGCTGTTTCCTCTGTCTAGTAACATGATTAACTCCTTCACCTCCTTTAAGATTTTTCCCTAAATAACCACTGTTAAAAGAAAAACTTTGGACAAATTAAATTGAACAGTTTAATCAAGCAAAAAACAATTTGTGAATCAGGTAGCCCCAGAACCAGAAGAGGTTCAGAGCAACTTCAGGACTGCCACATGGTTGGATAATATTTATGGATAGAAAAGGGAAAGTGACATGCAAAAAACGGAGGTGAAGTGCAAAAACAGATTGTTTACAGCCTAATGTTTGCCTTATTTGAACACAGTTTAAACAGTTGGCCACCTGTGATTTGCCCAAACTCTGTGATTGCTTAATGAGTAGGTTACAGTCTGTTTACACATCAAGTTAGGTTAAGTTCAGTATGCACAGAGAAACCTTTAGTCTGAACTTAAAATACATAAGGAGGCAACTTTAACTTAATTTAATACCACGCCATTTAAAATGGTACCCCTTTCTAACCCTCAGTTCTCTCTGTCCCTCTTCTCTTCTCCAAATCTATCCGTAACCCTTATCCTCTAACATACTACATATTTTACTTATTTATCCTGTGAAAAAAGTAATTCAAAATCTCAGCTGTTGGAATGTTAAAATATTTTGAGCCTTAAAGAAATGTTATGGGACCTGAGTCAAAACAGGCAGCTGTAACCTTTGTTTCTTTGATTATAAATTAGCCTGTTTCCTTATCTGCATTGTTTTCTAAAGTGTTATAAATGACTAAAGGCACCAGGGTAGACCCCTTCCCAGTAAACTATTGATCTTCTTTATAGATTACCTTACCTCTTACCTTTTTCATACAAAAACTTAATGACTATCACATTGTCAAAGATGCAATGTTAAATTCGTTTTTTTTTTTTTGAGACAGAGTTTCACTCTGTTTCCCAGCTTAGATGGCCATGGGCATCAGCTAGCTCATAGCAACCTCAAAACTCCTGGGCTTGAACAATCTTCTGCCTGAGCCTCCCAGGTAGCTGGACCACAGGCATGCGCCACCACGCCCAGATAATTTTTCTATATATTTTTAGTTGTCTGGCTAATTTCTTTCTATTTTTAGTAGAGATGGGGTCTCCGTCTTGCTCAGGCTGGTTTCAAACTCCTGACCACTAGTGATCCTCCACCTCGGGCCCCCAAAGTGCTAGGATCACAGGCGTGAGCCACGACGCCCGGCTGTTAAATACATTTTTAAATTGGCAAGGAAATGAAAACAATTGTTCAGAAAAGCAAACTCTGTAACTAATTAAACTAGCCTTGTATAGAAAATGTTAAAATCTAATGTACTCCTGTTTTTCCCGAATAATAAGGAACCTTACCATAAAATAAGCCGCCCTAACAGGAATTTCTAAGCATTTGCGCATAAAGCCTACCCCGAAAAATAAAACCTAGTGGATGGGCGTGCTTACAAGGGTTAATCGTGCACAACCCCATGCATTTCATCGCGGAGTTGGGTAAAGATAGACCAGCAGCCCTTCTCAATCTGCCCGCATGCAAAGAGCTTATGGCTCGACATGAACAGAGTTTGGGGGCCAATGGGTTTCTAAGAGGAAATAGAGGTGGCCGCAAGAATTCAAGCAGGAGAATTCGAGGTTTGTTTCTTTTTTAATTTTAATATTCTCTTTTTTTTATTTAAATTTTATTATTTGTCTTTTTCTTTTCATCCTGGGAAGGCCTTGCAATAAAGCAGGAGAATTCGGGGTTTGGGAATTATGAAATGATTGTTCAAAAAGAAAAGATTGGAACTTAAACTTATAATTTGAGTAAATGTAGATTGTTGTACCGTACTTAAAAAATAATTAAACCATCCAATGAAGAAGATAAGCCCTAGGGTTGTCTTTCTTGAGGAAAAATAATATAAACCTGTTTTGTTTTTTTTGGGAAACACAGTAAATGTCTTTGCTTTCTTCCTATATAAGTAAGACCTTAACTTTTAACTTCAGAGCACTAACCCCATTTCCCTGGAGTTTGCACTTCCCAGATGGTCAGTTTTTCACTTTAATAAACTCACTCTCTCTCTCTCTTCTTTTTTTTTTTTTTTTGAGACAGAGTTCTTATCTGGTTGCCGTGGGTAGAGTGCCGTGGCATCAGCCTAGCTCACAGCAACCTCAGACTCATGGGCTCAAGTGATCCTCCTGCCTCAGCCTCCTGAGTAGCTGGGACTACAGGCATGCACCACCATGCCCAGCTAATTTTTTCTATATATTTTTAGTTGGCCAGTTAATTTCATTCTATTTTTAGTAGGGATGGGGTCTCACTCTTGCTCAGGCTGGTTTCGAACTCCTGACCTTGAACAATCCACCTGTCTGGACCTCCCAGAGTGCTAGGATTATAGGCACGAGCCACCATGCCAGCCTGAATAAACTCTTTAAAACTGGATTGTAATCCTTTCGATTATTTCAGGTTAAGTGTCCATTAGATTGTAAGATTAGATTATAAGCTTCACGAGGACAGAGGTTCTCATTTTTTTATCTGTTGCTGTATCCTCAGCACCTAGAACCAGGCTTAGCACATACTAGACACAAAATACATATTTGATTAACAAACCATGAATGAATGACTTGTGGAATAGAGATTATACTTTTTCTCTATTATCCTAAGGAATTGGGCCAGGATCACAATATATTCTCTTATCCTATAGCACACATAAAGTCAGTTCAGAACTGCTAATTCATACCTTTGTACAAAAAGAAATAGGTACTAAGTTTCATATTTATTTCCAATTGCTTTAAGAAGGTAGATTTAGGCGGGTTAAAGTGGCTCAGGCCTGTAATCCCAGCACTCTGGGAGGCCGAAGGCAGGTGGATCGCTCAAGGTCAGGAGTTGGAAACCAGCCTGTGCAAGAGCGAGGCCCCATCTCTACTAAAAACAGAAAGAAATTAATAGGCCAACTAAAAATGTATATAGAAAACATTAGCCAGGTATGGTGGCACATGCCTGTAGTTCTAGCTAGTTGGGAGGCTGAGGCTGGAGGATCGCTTGAGCCCAGGAATTTGAGGTTGCTGTGAGCTAGGCTGATGCCACGGCACTCTAGCCCGGGCAACACAGTGAGACTCTGTCCCAAAAAAAGAAAAAAAGAAGGTAGATTTAATATCAATAAAAATAAATATTCTTAATAGCTGTTGAGGTCAAAGTAAAATCCTGTGTTTTTAGATTTTAAAAACCAAAGTGAATAATCACTTGGTCATTGGTTTAGATGAGTGGTTCTTGTAAAGTTTTCCAGCGACAAAAGAAGCAGACAGACAGAGAATAGGGCCAAACAAAGTGGCTTTATTGAGCGTTCTCAGGCAAGGTTCTTGGGTCCCAAGGGGGTGGGGTGAGAAGTCTAGTCTGTTTGGAGGGAGTTAGGGCTTGTATACTGTTTGAGGTGGACTGGGGACTTTTGGCAGGAAAAGCTGAGGATTTTCCACTGTGACCTTCGGCGGTTATTAAGGAATAGGAGGGGCTGATGGTGTTTGCGAATCCAGGGGCCGAAAACTTTCTTAGCTGGGTGGACATTCAGGTGTTGTTGTTTTCAGCGGGGCCTTGCAGTTGTCCTTGGCGGGTCTGGTCTCATGACCCTTTTCTTTTTGATCTAGGAAGGGGAGGGCACCCCCCCACCAGCCTTACATTACCCACTAGATGCCACGTTTGACCCTGTGGGTCAAGATCAGCCTCAGTTGAGAACTATAAGGCAACTTCTCAGGCTCCCCTCTCTTGGGAGCCACGAACCTGGCCCTGGCCTGGGAGTGCTCAATAAAGCTATGTTGTTTGGCCCCACTCTCTCTCTCTCTCTGTGTCTGCTTCTTTTGCTGCCAGAAAACTTCACAGGTAGAGGCCAAGAATATTGCTAAACACTCCACACAATAACCTACACACACAGAGCAAAGAATTATCCAGCCCAAAATGTCGATATTGTCATAGTTGAGAGACCCTGGATTAAAGAATTTTACAATTCTTTGTAATTCTGAGATTATCTGATTATAGGTCCTTTATTTTTCTGAAGATGGGGAATTCCTTGGGAATTACTCTTGAAGTTTTAAACTTCTCTCAATAACATGTTTTTATATCTTAATATGTATATATTTTTATAGTGATTATGTTAATGGAAAAAACAAACTCTGTAAAATCATTTACAGAGGTTTACCCTGAGCCCAAGACATGTGACTGTGGCCTGGGGAGCCACACCCAAGAAACCTCAAGTAAGTGATCCCATAATGATCAGGTTACATTTTGGTTTTATACATTTTTAGGGAGACAGGAATTATGGGCAAAATCATTGGCCCAAAATGGTGGGACATCTCCAAGGGGGGAATGTTTCAGGTTATAGGTGTGTTCAAAGATTCTTTTGATTTGTAATTGGTTAAAGAAATAAAGGTTCGTCTAAATACTTGGAATCAGTAGAAAGGAATATTTTAAAATAAGGAACTCTGTTATTTGTAGACCAAGGCACAATGTACTCAAAGTGACCTGTTATGTAAATTGACAGCCTGTAGGCATTACTTTACATTTGCCTGTATGGCCTTGAGTCCAGTTTGCAATTGCTCTAAACTCCAAAAGGGAGAGAATATAACAAGCATGTCTGACCTCCCTTCCCTTCCTGGCTGGGAACTGAGTTTTCAGGTTTTTCTGGGAGGGGGTGCTTAGGATTTATTTTTAATTTACAATTAGAGCAGCTTTTTCTCTTCCTGCTGTGAGCCCTATCATAGTATTATAATCACTGAAGAAATTAGTTTTATTATCTCCAAGGAGAATGAGGAGAGCAGCATTGTTGCTATTCAAATTCTCCTTGAAACTTAGAAATGTATTATTTTATTGTATTTTCACAGAAAGAAAGCCCATAAAGCTTAATGCCCTGGGGAAGAATTTGGGAAAAGAACCTTACACATAACTTAGATGAAGAGACACTTATCATTTTTATGAAATTAGAATTTTTTACCACTAACTCTTTATTAATGCCAATGGTATTATCATTGTTGTGATATTTCCAATGGATTTTCTGCCCTTCGGCCTTAAATCTAGCAAAACAGGCATGTCCTGTTGTGAGTCAAGTTTTATTCCTTGTTGAGGAGTCAAATGGTTAGTTAGATTTGTGGCTTTGTTCTTATATGGATGGTGGATGTACCTGTTTCCCAGAAGTTTTCACTCAATTAGCATACTTCATGTGTGTTTTCTCTTCAAATAAAGAAAACTCATTGCTGAAAAAACTGTTTTCAAGACTTCAGGAGTAAATAGATTTGTTCCAGTTGTTTTTTGATTTGGGAAATAATTTTAGTGTGTTCAGTTACTGTTCTTCATCTCTGATTTTGGTTTTGTTTTCTTGTAAATGATTTCTTACCAAACCAAAAAAAAAAAGAAAAGAAAAAAAGAAAATAGACTTATAGACATTAAAATTAGAAGGTAAACAATCTCCTGTCCTTAGATAGGTAAAATATTAATTAGCATTCCCATCTTAGAGCTGAAGTAGCATCCACAGCTTGGAACTGGCAGAAGAGTTTTCTATATAGGCTCATAGATAAGCAGATAGCTTTCTTTAACCTTCCAGTCTTTTAGGCATTAATAAGAGTTGGAATCCATATTCATGAATGGTTTCTGACATGTTTCTCCTTAGTGAATGTTGTCCTTTGCTTGGTTATCTCGATTGCAAGTGTTAGTAAAATTTGGGGTTCTCAAATATTTGAGTGGCTTTTCTTAGAACTAATAAAATGATAGTGTTTAAAAAATACCCTCCGTCTGTTTTGGCTTAGAGAATGCAAAAAGTACTTGAACTTCTCAGATAAAACTCTTTGAAATAAAAATGTTTTTACAAGGACTTTATATTCTCTTATTTAAATAATGTAGTTCATTTTTGTACTTAAGGTTGTCCTTTATTTATTTTTTTTTTTTTTTGAGACAGAGTCTCACTTTGTTGTCCAGGCTAGAGTGAGTGCCGTGGCGTCAGCCTAGCTCACAGCAACCACAAACTCCTGGGCTCCAGCGATCCTTCTGCCTCAGCCTCCCGAGTAGCTGGGACTACAGGCATGTGCCACTATGCCCGGCTAATTTTATATATATATATATATCAGTTGGCCAATTAATTTCTTTCTGTTTATAGTAGAGATGGGGTCTCGCTCTTGCTCAGGCTGGTTTTTTTTTTGTTTGTTTGTTTGTTTGTTTTTTTATTTTATGTAACTTAAACATTTGTATCAGGCTGGTTTTGAACTCCTGACCTTGAGCAATCCGCCCGCCTGGGCCTCCCAAGAGCTAGGATTACAGGCGTGAGCCACAGCGCCAGGCCAAGGTTGTCCTTTAGAAGAATCCTTTCAGTCTTTCCGTTTGTGTTAATACCGATATGAAAGCAGAATTTTAAATAATGGTTAAATCTTAATCTTAGCTGTATTGCCTCCTAAGTATTCTGTGTGTGCCTACCTCTTGAATAGAACACGAAGGGAATTTTGATTTCTAAAGAATTTATTTAATGGGCAACGTATTTCATTTATTTAGAAAGCTATATCTTTCTTCAATATCTATGGAAGTTTGTGATCTCTGGTCCTGAGCTCTCCTGTCTTCCTTTTGTCTTAAAACGAATGCAGTAGATTGCTCTTTCTAGTCTGATTTTTCTGGCTATTAGTTTTTCTGTTTAGTGAAATGTGCATTGCATTGAATAGGAATACATTCTAAAATCTGGGCAAATGGGCATGTATTAATATCCTTCCATCTTGGCCTCTGAGACACTGGTGCTTTTTTTTATTATTATTTTTTATTTTTTGAAACAGAGCCTTGCTTTGTTGCCCAGGCTGGAGTGAGTGCCATGGCGTCAGCCTGGCTCACAGCAACCTCAAACTCCTGGGCTCAAGCAATCCTACTGCCTCAGCCTCCCTAGTAGCTGGGACTACAGGCATGCACCACTATGCCCGGCTAATTTTTTCTATATATATATTAGTTGGCCAGTTAATTTCTTTCTATTTATAGTAGAGACGGGGTCTCACTCTTGCTTGCTCAGGCTGGTTTTGAACTCCTGACCTCGAGCAATCCGCCCACCTCGGCCTCCCAGAGTGCTAGGATTACAGGTGTGAGCCACCGCGCCCTGCCAACACTGGTGCTTTTTAAAAATAAGACTAGCAAGAATCTGTAAGTAAGAATTTTTCAGATTATGATCAATGCCTCAAATGACAATGTATGAATCTACTAAGTCATGACTAATGATGACTCCATGATATTACATGAATCTATAAAAATGTAACAAATACAACTCCTAAAAGTATTTGGTAATGTCTTCTTTTTTAACTTTGAGAAATGTGTTCTTATAATGCTCTTAAGAGATAAGTAGCAAAATATCTTGCTAAAGCAACTATATACAACAAATGAAAAATTTGAATTTGAATCTCTTGGTGGTTTCACCAAGTTTATCCTTGGTTAGAGAATATTTGGAGATTCCTTAAATCAAAACATTCTTTTTCCAGTTGTGTTTTAAGTGACTTTTAGTAAAAAGATTTCTCTCTTAGGATTGTGCCTCTTGGTTCTTTATATTATGACTGGAACCAGATAGCTTCATGTGTGCTTGTTTGCAGTCAGTTCATTGGTTCATTTGTTCAATTATTTAATTAACAAATATTTGCAAAGTATATACATGTGTCAGGCACTTTGTTACAATTCTGTCTGGTATTTTTTTTAATCATTTCAGGACTGATGAGAAATATTTTAATATCTCAAGATGGTGTTAAATTGGAAACATGTGTTTTCAAAAAAGAAGCACCTGGCTCATTGTATTGTTCCACTCTGAGGCAACCTTGTGGGGCCAAGATCCCCATCTTAAGCTTGTAAGGATCATGATGGTTGTGAAGCTCTTTCAGATGTTTTGTGACACTTCATAACTGCTGCTTGCTGCCTGCCTATCCTAATTGTCTAAGCAATCAGGAACTCTTCGATGAGCTTTTACACTGTTAAGGCACTTTGAAATGTCACCTTTCCCCTCACCTGTCACCCATTGTACAAGATCCATACTCACTCAAAACCATGTGAGTTCCTTAATGTGAGAGTTGTAAATTGTGTGTTTAATCTAATATTGTCATGGACTTAGCATGTTATCTATAAGCCACTTCCTCTCTCTAAAGCTGTTATGTTAAAATTGTATTTAAAACTATATCAAAATTGGTACTTTGAATGCTATGCAGATTGTCTCCTAGTGTACAAATGAGGAAACTCATTACTCTTTTCATGTGGAGAGGTGCTGCTGCCAGCCATTTGCTATCAGCGAAGCTTCCAAATTGCTTCTAACAGTAGTGGCTTGTGTTGTACCCTGACACAAAGAGATACCTTACCTTAGGTCTTCTAGGAGGTCAGTGGCAAGAGGTATAAATGGAATATTGTTATGTTGCTTTAAGACAGAAAAGCTTAAACAGTTACATTTTGCTTCCTTTTGTCTCTCCCTTTTTTTAAAGGAGTGGTGAATGTGTTGCTAACAACTCCACTGTGGGTGGTAAACACCAGGCTGAAGCTGCAAGGAGCAAAATTTAGGAATGAAGACATTGTACCCACCAACTACAAAGGTATTATTGGTAAGTCTTTTGGCTGAGTTCCTGTTTAAGGGTTTTCTTTCCTCTTTGCATCTGGAATCTGTTGCCATAATAAAGCCACACAGCAGACAACCTTAAATCTCAGCATCCATTAGTAGCATTTGTGTAACTCACGTGTCTATAGATTGACAGGAATTTGACTCATCTGGGCTGACCCCAACCTGAGAGTCTTAGCTCCACATCTCCCTTTTCCTCTTCCTGGGACCAGCATAAGATATTCTTCTCATGGTGGTGGCAGAAGCACAAAGGACACATCCAGTGATACAATCATATTTCAGGGCTCTGCTTGCACCTTGACTGCTGACATTCCAATGGCCAAAGCACATTAACATGGCCAAGCCCAAGATAAGGAGTAGAGAAGTATACTGCTCCCAGGCAGTATAGATAGGAGGGGATGAATATTTTTGAGTAATAATCTATACTGTCTTTGGATAGACACCAAATTGGTATCTGAAATCTTTGAGCTTCTGCTTTTTAATAGTACCACATTGCCAGCTTCTCCATTCCTACGTATCAGTCTTTGTAATGAGAATGATAGTTTTCTGATAAGTCAGATCCACTGTAATGGTCTCTAGGATCTTATCTTTTGTTGTACTAGATTTTGTTGTAAAACATGTGGGCTCAGTTCACAATTCTGTATAATACAGAGTGGTGGTGATAATTACTTAGGAAAATTTGACATTCTAAGCCCAGATTGTCAGGAAGAGTTGCCTATGATTGAAGTTGGTCTCTAAATAACTTGGTGACTATCAGTGTCTGATTATCAAACAAACAATAGTTAGCTGATAAACTTGCCCCCAGAATACCATTACAAGCAGGAAATCTTTATAGAGCTAATGTGGTTTGTGTTCTGGGTATATTTGGACAGAATTTATGTTTTCTTCTCTAATTAGGAGATTATCATTATGCTTTTCAAAAGTCCCTGATTTCTTGCTTAGATGCTTTTCACCAGATCATTCGAGATGAAGGAATATTGGCTTTATGGAATGGCACATTTCCCTCCTTGCTGTTGGTCTTCAATCCTGCTATCCAGTTCATGTTCTATGAAGGTTTAAAACGGCAGCTTTTGAAGAAACGGATGAAGGTAATCCCTGGTTTGGAGCACAGACTAATAATCTCTGACACCTTCTTGTTTGGATTGATATGTTTGTTCTTTCTTTGCTTTCCAGCTTTCTTCTTTGGATGTGTTCATCATTGGTGCAATAGCCAAAGCAATTGCCACTACAGTCACCTATCCCATGCAGACAGTACAGTCAATTCTGAGGGTAAGTGCTGGGGTTCTCCCTGCATTTAGTCAAACAGCAAGCTAACATATGTGGTCTCTTTATTTAAAGCAATGTTAATAAAGCAGTCAGTTCGTATGCCAGAGTATTTCCCATCCATTTTTTTCATTTCTTTGATATTCTGCTAACCAGGCTGGCTATCAGTTGGTTTTCTGTTTGGTTTGGAATGAAGTTCCATTTGTGATTCGATTTCTTAGGTAAGACAATATCTCAGAAAACCCAAATGTTGTGCGGTAGCTCATGCCTGTAATGCTAACACTCTTGGGAGGCTGAGGCGGGAGGATCACTTGAGGTCAGGAGTTCGAGACCAGCCTGAGCAAAAGTGAGACCCTGCCTCTACTAAAAATAGGAAAAAAATTAGCTGGGGGTGGTAGTACATGCCTATAATCTCAGCTACTCGAGAGGCTGAGACAAGAGGATCGCTTAAGTCCAGGAGTTTCAGTTTGCAGTGAACTATGATGACACCACTACACTTTACCCAGGGTGACAGAGCAATGTTCTTTACCTCAGGAAAGTGTAAATTTGCTTCCTTCTCATTCAAGTTGATTTGCTTGGTGCTCTAGGGCAGATTACCCTTTATTAAATCAGATGTTCATTCCTTTAGTTCACTCAGGAGGAATTCATAATTTAGCTTTTCTGAAGCACTTTCAAATTTTTGTTCTTTCTTCTTTTTTTTTTCACTTTACTCACTCACTCACTCACTCTGAAATTTCTGTTTTTTCATTCATTCAATTATTTATCCATTCAAATATTTATCAAGTGGCCAGGCATGGTAGCTCACGCTTGTAATCCTAGCACTCTGGAAAGCTGTCAGGAGGATCGCTCAAGGTCAGGAGTTCCAGACCAGCCTGAGCAAGAGCGAGACCCTGTCTCTATTAAAAATAGAAAGAAATTACTCGGACAACTAAAAACATATAGAAAAAATTAGCTGGGCATGGTTATGCATGCCTGCAGTCCCAGCTACTCAGGAGGCTGAGGCAAAAGGATTGCTTGAGCCCAGGAGTTTTAGGTTGCTGTGAGCTAGGCTGATGCCATGGCACTCTAGCCTGGGCAACATAGTGAGAATCTGTCTCAAAAAAAAAAAATTTATTAAGCATCCATCCTATGGGAGGAGTTGAGTATACTGTGGTAAATAAAATAGCCATAATCCCTGCCCTCAATGGAGATAGTGGAAGAGTGAATGAACAGGTAAATAAGCAAAATAAACAGGTAATTACAAATTGAAAAAAGAGCTGTAAAGGAAGTGAACATGTTTTGTGGTTTAATGGAGGAGACTTGGTGGGGATGTTCTTAGCTAGCATGATTGGGCTGGGCTTCTTTGAGGAGGCATGTTTAAATTAAGATACAAAGGAAGATGAGGGCCTAGCCATGCAAAGAATGAAGGAAAATGAATTCCAGGTAGAGGGAGTATGATGTGCCAAGAGTTTGGGGCAGCCCATCCTAGGAACTGAAAGGAGGCCTCTATGGCTAGAGAGTGGCTCAGGGTGAAATTAGAAAAAAAACTGGGAAGCTGTAGATGAGGAGTCTAGATTTTTATTCTCAGTGCCATGAGAAGCCTTTGAACGGCTTTAAGCTGGGAAGTATGTGATGTGATTTACAATTCAAGAAGATTATTGTGGCTGTTGTGTGGTGAATTGGTCAGTCAGAAAGCTAAGAAAGGGCTGGGGTGCAGTGGCTCACGCCTCTAATCCTAGCACTCTGGGAGGCTAAGGTGGGTGGATTGCTCAAGGTCAGGAGTTCGAAACCAGCCTGAGCAAGAGCGAGACCCAGTCTCTACTACTAATAGAAAGAAATTAATTGGCCAACTAAAGATATATAGAAACCAACCATGGTAGTGCATGCCTGTAGTCCCAGCTACTTGGGAGGCTGAGGCAGGAGGATCGCTTGAGCCCAGGAGTTTGAGGTTGCTATGAGCTAGGCTGACGCCACAACACTCTAGCCCAGGCAACAAAGTGAGACTTTGTCTCAAAACAAAAAAAATGTATTAAGCATCCATCCTATGGGAGGAGTTGGGTATACTGTGGTAAATAAAATAGCTATAATCCCTGCCTTCAGTGGAGACAGTGGAAGAGTGAATGAACAGGTAAATAAGCAAAATAAATAGGTAATTATAAATTGAAAAAAGAGCTGTACAAAAAAAAAAAAGAAAGCTAAGAAAGCTGGGGCAATCAGGCCATTTCAGTGATACAGGTGAGAGGGAATGGTGGACTTAGACTAGGGTGGTAGCAGTGGACAGGAGAGAGAGAATGAGAACAGATTCAAGATCTATTTTTTTTTGAGACAGTCTCACTCTGTCTTCTGGGCTCAGGTGATTTTCCTACTTCAGCCTCCCGAGTAGCTGTTATTACAGTCACATGCCACCATGCCTGGCTAATTTTTCTATTTTTAGTAGAGACGGGGTCTCACTGGTGCTCAGGCTGGTCTGGAACTCCTGACCTTAAGTGATCCTCCCGCCTCAGCCTCCCAGAGTGCTAGGATTATAGGCATGAGCCACCTCATCCAGCCTCAAGATCTGTTTTAGAGAAAACGTTCAACAGACTTATTGCTAGATAAAATGGGAATGGTAATGAGAATATTTCAGTTCAAAATAGTTATTATTTTTTAAAAAAGTATTTTTACTTATACTTTTTTTTTTTTTTTTTTTTTTTTTTTTTAGACAGAGTCTCACTTTTTTGCCCAGGCTAGAATGAGTGCCATGGTGTCAGCCTAGCTCACAGCAACCTCAAACTCCTAGACTCAAGCAATCCTACTGCCTCAGCCTTCTAAGTAACTAGGACTACAGGCATGTGCCACCATGCCCGGCTAATTTTTTCTATATATATTAGTTGGCCAATTAATTTCTTTCTATTTATAGTCTCGGGGTCTCGCTCTTACTCAGGCTGGTTTCGAATTCCTGACCTCAAGCAATCCACCCGCCTCAGCCTCCCAGAGTGCTAGGATTACAGGCGTGAGCCACCGTGCCTGGCCTATACATTATTTTTGAATTGGGACTTACAGGATTTAGTAGCATTCACATAAATGTATTTTAACACTTTTATGATATAAACATATAATGTGAAGAGCTTAGACTGAAGATTTTAATAGATTAGTGCTTAGCAGAACTTTTTTTTTTTGTCCTACATATTTTTAGTTGGCCAATTAATTTCTTTCTATTTTTAGTAGAGATGAGATCTTACTCTTGCTCAGGCTGGTTTCAAACTCCTGACCTTGAGTGATCCTCCCCCCTCGGCCTCCCAATTAGCAGAACTACTTTTTTTTTTTTTTTTTTTTTTTTCAGAACTTCTTAAAGAAGTGGAAGTTATAAAGCCATGCCATCAATAACTAAATCATCATCCTGGGCATGTTTTTTTCCTTTTGAGATAGAATTTTTTCTATAATTATCTTTAAAATGAAAATTCTCATGCTTGCTTCATTGAAAAATATTTCTGATTTTCATGTATTTCATCAAAATATTTTACTTATTTAGTTGAAAAATAGAGGGTTGATGAAATCTGTGGGTACTGATTAGATATTTTTAGTATTGTATGCTGTGAGACATTACTATAACATCATATCCTTTCCAGGTAGAAATTAAAATTTTAAAAGGCAGTAATAATAAACAGTAACTTTTTTTTTTTCTCCCTCAGTTTGGCCGTCACAGACTAAATCCAGAAAACAGAACACTGGGAAGTCTTCGAAATGTTCTCTATCTTCTTCACCAACGAGTGAGGTGAGCTTTATAGATGCTTCACCTTCTGTTTACTCTTTCAACACCTGTCTCTACCAAGGAGTGGTAGGATTTGCTTCTCTTATACTACTGCCTTGGCAATGACAGCTTTAAAAACCTCTATCTTGCATGCTATGCTCAGACATTTCTCATTTTAGGAGCTTGATATAATATGACAGTATTTTGGCACTGGACATGGTGTCTTATCCTTGTAACCCTAGCACTTTGGGAGGTTGCAGAGGGAAAATCACCTGAGGCCAGGGGTTTCAGGCCAGCCTGGACAACATAGCAAGATGCCGTTTCTACAGAAAAAATTTTTTAAATCAGAGACCTCATCTCTCCAAAGGAAAAAAAAATTTAGCCAGACATGATCCCACACACCTGTAGTAGTCCCACCTACTCAGAGACTGAGGTGGAAGAATGGCTTGAGCCTACGAGTTTGAGGTTACAATGAGTTGTGGTTGCATTCCATCCTGGCTGACAGAGTGAGACTGTGTCTCTTTAAAAAAAAAAAAAAAAGACACCATTTTGGGAAACTATGGAAGCATGGAAAAGTTCAGGTACTTATTCTTTGTTAGTTACAAATATGCAGAACTCTTTCAGAAAGGGAACCCTCCTATAATCTAATCTGCTTGAGTGGTGCTCATCAATGGCATATCCCATGACCTCTCTTGGGAGTATAACATCTGCTTATACAGTTAACAGTAGTAGTAGTGAAGAGAGAGGGGAGTGGAAAGAGTAATGTAGTCCCAGTTACCCAGTAGGCTGAGGCAGGAGGATCACTTGAGCCCATGAGTTTGAAAGAGTGGTGATGATGATGATGTAAGAGTAACTTAACATTTCTGAGGGTTTGCTATATGGCAGACACTAAGTTAGATGCTATATGTGGGTAATCTCAATCCTAACAGTAGCTCTATGAGGCAGGAACTATTGTCATTTCCCCGTTTCATTTAAAGAAACTGACAGGGAAGTCATATAAGTCAAGGACTTCCTTTGAAGCAGAAGCTGCTATAACTTTATTATTGTTTCTAGATAGAAGATACTTTGAGAATAAGTTTATTATAAAAGTAGAATATGCATAGGATAAAAAAATAAAATCAAAGATAAAGAATTGAGCCGGGCGCGGTGGCTCACGCCTGTAATCCTAGCACTCTGGGAGGCTGAGGCGGGAGGATTGCTCGAGGTCAGGAGTTCGAAACCAGCCTGAGCAAGAGCAAGACCCCGTCTCTACTATAAATAGAAAGAAATTAATTGGCCAACTAATATATATATAAAATTAGCCAGGCATGGTGGTGAATGCCTGTAGTCCCAGCTACTTGGGAGGCTGAGGCAGTAGGATTGCTTGAGCCCAGGAGTTTGAGGTTGCTGTGAGCTAGGCTGACGCCACGGCACTCACTCTAGCCTGGGCAACAAGCGAGACTCTGTCTCAAAAAAAAAAAAAGAATTTGTATAAGGTAAAAGTACTCACCATACAAAACGCTGGGAAGGGTGTGAAGTAAGCAGAACTTTCCTATGCTACTGGTGGGAATGTAGAATAGTGTGACAAATGCTTTAGCTGAGTTGGGACAGCATTAATGTGAAGATCTGAATGTTCTTAGAGCTCAGATTTTGGCATTAAGATGGTTTTAGGAGATTTTAGGATCTACATCCTATCAGTGGGATATTATCAACATTCTAATAATTAGTGGTGACCATAAAAACAAAGTATTGATGGCTCATGAATACTAAACTTTCATCAGTCCCTGGACACCTTTAAAGATAAGTTCTTTGACAACAGAAGTCTATGTTGAAATCTGAAGCCGCCATTGCTTATTTTGATCAAAGTACCTATCCAGGTAGCAAATATGTGATGAAGAAATTGACTTTTATATTTTATAAAGAAAACTTTTGTTTTTTTCAAACCTCTTTTCTCTTAGGCGTTTTGGAATAATGGGACTCTACAAAGGCCTTGAAGCCAAACTGCTACAGACAGTACTCACTGCCGCTCTCATGTTCCTTGTTTATGAGAAACTCACAGCTGCTACTTTCACAGTTATGGGGCTGAAGAGTGCAGGCAAGCACTGACACGCCTTCCAGTGGGAAGTATGGAAGATGCCGGAGATGGGTAGTTTCCTTCTGAGTGAAGAGAAGTGATTTTCCTTTTACTCTGACTCTCTCCACCACAAATTTTACCCTCATTGGCTTGAAAGGCATGGAAGGGTAAATGGGGAGTATATCCAGCTGAACCTGTTGCCACCTTAGTTTTTATAACGGCTGGTTGGATTTTGGGGTGGTGGTTAGACTAATATAAAAAGAAAACTATTATTGAAAACCTAAAAATGGGCCGGGTGCAGTGGCTCACACCTGTAATACTAGATTTCTGGGAGACCCAGGTGGGACAATCGCTCAAGGTCAGGAGTTCGAAACCAGCCTGAGCAAGAGCGAGACCCCATCCCTACTAAAAATAGAAAGAAATTAATTGGCCAACTAAAAATATATAGAAAAAATTAGCTGGGCATGGTGGCGCATGCCTGTACTCCCAGCTACTCAGGAGGCTGAGGCAGAAGGATTGCTTGAGCCGAGGAGTTTGAGGTTGCTGTGAGCTAGGCTGATGCCATAGCACTCTAGCCCGGACAACAGAGTGAGACTCTGTCTCAAAAAAAAAAAAAACCCTGAAAATGAAAGTTTGTGGAGGTTTACTAGTTTTCTTAAGGGGAATGGACTATTTTGCTCTTGTGTGTAATCTTTCTATTTAATTTTTTCTTAAATATACTAGCTGTTCTCTTTCCCTGAACTCTTCCCCAGGTTTTACGACAAACTAAATAACATGCACTTCTCCTCAGATATTTTTGTATGTCTTAATCTTGGTATTTTCCTCACTAAAAATAATATGACTATACCATGGGTATGACTTTATTTTTGTTGGACTTTTTTTCTCCTGCTTAAAGACAGGTGTCTTTTTTAGTACATGAGCTATTTATTTTGTTGGGAAATGAAAATTATTAATGTCAAATGATTCTCTTATAAACTATTTATAAATGTCACTTATTCATTAGGGTTTGACATTATTTTTAAAATATTTATTTTGAATCAACTCTTTGGTTACAAAAGACTTGAGGTTTTATGTTCAAATATACAGACCCCAATCATTGAAGCCCCAATAAATTGTCAACACAAAAGACATTCTTGAAAAGTTGCTCTCTATTGAGGTACTACATTGGGTTTACAACCAGATGGTAAAAATCATAAAACTCTGGGATATTATCTCCCTATATAAACTCTTGGCATAGGATGTATATTTTGAGAATAAACATCTGATTGAGGTTATTTCATTTGGAAACCTTGCTTGGAGTCTTGCTGAAAGTGTTGTCCATCAGACATTAGCATTGCCATTAGCTGAGAGCTTGCTTGCATGCAGCCCAAACCTTGTGATTCATATTCTACAGTTTAACCAGATCCCCAGGTGATTCATATCCACACTAAAGTTCAGGCATGATGAGGCCCCTGAGCCAACAGAAGTGATTGGTTTTGATCATAGTAACCAAAGTAAAGATAGTTCTCAAAGGAATGATAGACTAATGTATTACAATGACCTCTGAAAACATCTGGGAGTCTTATCTATGTCATCATTTGCTTTCACCTCATAGCATGTTGTTGAGGTGGTAGGACTTTTATCATGTAGCTAGGAGTAGATTTAGACATCTTAAGCCACCAAAGAAGTAAATTGTCTTAACATTAGTAGAACAATTCTTTGAATTCCTATGATTTAGTTTTTGTTCTTGTAACAAAATGACAGATTTTTCATTTGTAAGTCCGTGATTCAGGCAACAGAGTGAGACTCTGTCTCAAAAAAAAAAGTTTGTGATTCAGTCAGAGGAAGTAATAATGAAATATTTCATTATTTAGGATTTAGTTCAATTTTCAGAGTGGAAATTTCTCTCTCTTATTTCCCCTCTTTAGTCCTCGTGGTAATTTCAAAATATATGAGTATTAAACTAGTAGTAACTGATAGGTCATTATGTTGTTCTACAAGGTAAAAATTAAGCTGGGCACACCAGTGGCTCACACCTGTAATCCCAGAGACTCTGGAGCAGGCGTCCTCAAACTACAGCCCACGGGCCACATGAGGGTGTTTTTGCCCGTTTGTTGTTTTACTTCAAAATAAGATATGTGCAGTGTGCATAGGAATTTGTTCAGAGTTTTTTTTAAACTATAGTCCAGCCCTCCAGTGGTCTGAGGGACAGTGAACTGGTCCCCTGTTTAAAAAGTTTGAGGACCCCTGTGCTAGAGGCTGAGGCAAGAGGATCACCTGAGCCCAGGAGTTTGAGGCTACAGTGAGCTATGATCGTGCCACTGCACTCCAGCATAGGTGACAGAGTGAGGCCCCCATCACTGTGTGTGTGTGTGTGTGTGTGTGTGTGTGTGTGTGTGTGTGTGTATGTGTGTGTAAATATATATATAAATTAGCAAGAGTGAATAATCTGGGAATAAAACCGAGCATTCATCCCTATTTAAACCAGAGACTTGAAGACAAAATTGTCTTTACTGCTTTTTATTTTACTTTAACTTGTGTGTGTGTATGTTGTGGTGGACCTTGGAGGGGAAGCACAAAACTGCTATTTTTCTGTATCGGAGAAGAATGATCATAAAAGTGCATGTGTAGTTTTTTTATTGTTTTTATTATGCTGTTTGCTTCGAAATTTGAATTTTGAGCTCTGAGTATTGTGGGTTGGTAGTTAGAATAATTTCCAACTCATAGCTACATTAGGTGTTTATGATGTGAGAATGTATTTGATGCTGCTGCTTTTTTCTAGTTTTAGGAGGAAACAATCTAACATTGAGAGGTTTTATGTTTTTATTTTTTTCATTTTTTAATTTTCTTTCAGTGTCTTGATGTAATGATTTTTTTCTTTTTATTCCTTTTTTTCTTTGTTTTAATTTTCTTTTGGGAGGTTTTATTATGTTCCTTAAATAGCTTATAGACTCACTAGTTGAAAGTATACACTTAGTTTTGAAACTTATGGTTAATAATAAATTAAGAAAACTAAAGAGCTGAAGTCCATACTAAGGAAATAGAAAATTTTTCTCTTTGATTCTTTGTGCAATTTCTCTAGAATATGGGGATTAAAAACCTTAGAAATACAGTGTCACTGCAGTTGAAAATTTAATTTCTGTAAGTATTTAATCTGTTTTGAAACAGATACTGTAACATTTCTACCCTTATCTATTATATAGTTCAGTATAAAATGCAGAAATAGGATTTATCATAAGAACATATTCAGCGGGTATTAGAAATCTTGGGTTTTATTCCCAGCTCTGCCACCAAGTAGCAAATTATGTTATCACCTTGTGCTTCAGCTCTTTGATAAGTGGAGGTAATAATACTACCCACTTCAGAGGATGTTGGAAAGCTAATGATGTCCGCTAAATCCCTTTATGACCATGGGATAGGGAAGAGCTGAGTGAAACTTAAGACAGTGCCTAGATTTATATAGCAATTTTCCTTCTCAAAGCTTATACACTTTCTCATTTTATAATCCAGTATCTCTGGAAAATGGGTAGGGACAAGTAGCAATATCCCATTTAATTAACTAGGAAATTGTGACAGAACTATCAGATGACTTGCCTCTTTGGAGCTGGGATTAGAGTCGAGTTTCCTGCAGTCTAGTGTAATGATTAAGAGAATGGGTTCTGGAATTAGGCAAATCTAGGTTGAACCTCTGGCCCTATTCTTTAACAGGTGTGGGAACAAATCAGTTACTGAACTTCTATGAGATTTTTTTTATGAAACTTAGTTTCCTCAACTGTGAAATGGAGGTCTTGGTAAACCTACCTCAGAGGGTGATTGTGAGGATTGAATGAGATCATATACATAAATTGCTTAGCACAGTGTTTGCCATATGAGAAGAGCAAGATAAATGTTAGCAACAACTGTTATTATTATTGATTAAGGGTATAGCTGTTTGAATAGATGTAACTGTGGCACTCTGGATTTTGAGCCAGACTTGGTTCCAGTGTTCATTCTAGCATTTAATAGCATTGTGGCCACAGACAAATCACTTAACCTTTCTGAGATTCTGTCTTTATCCGGCACATAGAAATGATTACGTCTCAAGGCTGTTCTGAGGATTAAATAAGAGATATAGATATGTGAAAGCATCTGGCATAGTAAATGGCATATGTAGGTGCTTATTAATAAATGCCATTTAAACCAAGAAAATCAACTAGGTTTTACTTTGGGACAGCTTTTCCTTTTCCATTCATTTTAATTGTGAACATTTCTGGGGGTCTTTTGGTGTATCTTCTCAAAAGATAGGCCAAATCCAGTAATTTTATGTTTTTTTAGTATTCAAATTAAGTCTCCCAAACATTTATCAGTTAATCAGTAAAATATGAACTGGTTTAATGGCAGAAAGTCACTGACTGAGCTAGTGACTCACCTTGGCTCTTTTGAAAAGCTAAAGAATAGTGACTTCAGGATCCAAATGCCATGCATCTAAGGAGAACTCTTCCTCTGGGCAAGTGAAGTATTACCTAGCAGTGTTGAATGTCCCCAGAATACCAAACGTATATGAAGGCTTATTTGTAGGGTATTTATGTGTGCAATAAATGTGGTTGATTGAGGCCCTGCAGAGTTTTTATCACTGTATAAATGAAAGCGCTTTGGGTTAATCATAATCTTTGTGGGACATACTGGTATCCCCTGAAAAATATGTTCAGTGGGACTTAATGGGCAAGAAAAAGGTTTTCTAAGGGACTGAGTGGGAGAAGAAAAGAAATAAAATTACTGTTTAAAGATAGAGAGTGAAAGGGAAATAAGGAGGGACACTACTAGCATAACACTCAAAGAAGAGATGTTTAAAAAAATGTGTGGCAAGTATATACTGAGCAATAAACTGGGACTCAGCAAATGAGGTCCAATCTGTAATGACATTGAAAGGGAAGACTTCAGTTTGGAACGAGAATTGGTAATGGAGCTTTCATGTGTTGAATGCCTACTAAATGCGAGTCACAATTGATTTACATACATCTTGATATCCTTGTAACAACTGCAAATGTATAAGGTTCATTCCCATAACAGATGAGGTAGCAGAGACTTAAGAGTCACACATTTCATGAAGAGGGGTCAGGATTTGAAATTAAGGCTGACTTCAAAACTTTTTACACTGCAATACTACATCCTTCAGATGTCCAGTGTGTGGCTCCCTTTTACAACCTAGGGAGTGCGCATGATATAAGACACGTAATTCTTTCTATAATGAACTGTCTGTACCCCAACATGATGCCACAGGCTCAAGGGATTCCTGTGGCCTGTGTATCCTTGTATGCATGCTGTTTCT